CATGTCCAGTTTTTCATCAACCATTAATTAATCCATGGAAAAGGAATTACTGAGCACAGATCCAAGTTGACTAATTGAGATTTCTAGCTAGGTGATTACCTACTTATAAATACTCTTCAAGTTTCAGTGAATGGCCAGAAATATTTTCATCTTCTAAAAAGCAAGGAGAAAAAAAAAGGGGGGGGGGAGGGGAAAATCTTTCTGTAAAGTCTCTGTGACTTAAGACATACAGTACTTCCTCTCTTCATAACCTCACAGGGCCAGTCACAACACACGGAAAAAGGGTGTTTTGAGTTTATACAGAAGAAAGCCATTTTTTGGGAAAGTTTCTGTATCTTTCCTGGGCAAATGTTTTTCTGTATTTATTGATTTTACGTAGAACGTTAGGAGTCTGCTTTTCTGAAGTCCTGAATGCTTTCAACCTTTCTTTCAGCGTAACATACTGGAAGAAAAGGCTGACCCTCCTCCTTTCCCACAAACTAAATGCAAAGCCACATGAGCACCTAGAAACATTTCTGCAGGTTTCACTTCAATCCCTCTGCACGCAGTATATATCAAGTCTACAACACTCCCACCATAAGAAATAGTTAAATCAGTATGAAAAGTAAGTTGCTGTCCATATACAAACCACCTTTTTGAATCTCTTTAGTATGAAGATCCACAGATCCCTCTTCACTTCTTGGACTTTCAGGCTGTTGTGGCTAAACACAAAATCAAAAGAAACAAAGATATTTCAGATATCCAGAACAGGTATGTCTCAATCCCCTCCCTCATGTTGTGATGAACACCGTCTTATAAGATCTACAGAAGTCTTCAAAAGCTTTCTTAAGACAGCAGTACAAATACTAATAAGGAACGCTGGCAGAGCTGTGTTACTTTACTGTTGTAAACAGTACAGTGCCTAACCTTGACCTTACAGTTAAAACCGGTACCAGAGATTATTTTAAAAAGGAGATCTCAAGAAAAATTTCAGCAAGTCAAGGCACAATACGTACTCCGAGTTCCAAACATGAGCAGTATTCTAGAAATAGTTACATATGCAAAAAAATAGGTATCTGCAATGTATAACAAGGTACAGTGAACTCTTCAACTTGTGTTTTGCTTTGTTTGTGTGGTGGTTTTTTTTTTTTTTTAAATTCAGAAATACGCTGGATTTCAACAGCCCTGTGTAGATCCACCCTTTCACAGATGCTCGGGAGTCTCTGAACCATGTTCTCCTTCAAAATGCTTATTATCAGAGCTTGACAAGATAGGAATACATGGATCCATTCTGCATCTGAAGAATTAATACCGTACTCTTCTGTTACAGCAGGTAAGGGCCATTAGCTATCACAGTATGGAACAGCAGCAAGTGTTCCTCAAATACACAAAGAGGTGAGTGAAGACTGGCAAGGAAGCGGTACAACAAAATGAACATCAGTGCATGCTTACTATGTCAAAGCACTACACTAACAATTGCCAACCCTAAGCGCTAAGGCATGTATGACTATTTTACAAGTACTATCCCAAGCAACATGCATACAGTATAACCTATCCTAAAAAAGCAAACTTGGATATCATGGTCAGAGAAGCAACATAGCTGAGGGAGGAAATGGGTTCTACCACAGAATAACATGGACTGCCCACAATTTAAATGCCAGCTGCTTAGAAAAGGATAGCTGAATAATCTGAAAAAGGACCCTTCAAAAGTTTTGAAGTTCAAATGCCATTTCTGCTGCACAAAAATCAAAAGGTATAGTAAGAAACCCTGGCAAGATGTATAATTATACATGGAACAGTACAGTAAAAATTTTCAGAATAACATAAATACCTCATCAGTTTTCAAGTTACTTTCAAATTCTAGTTCTTCTGCCAACTTTGGTAAAGCTGCGTTATTGCCTAATGAAATACAAATATGTTAAAATTATTAGATTATATTATGCTGTATTTATCTCATGTTACAGTAGAATGCTATTTCTCAGTACCACCTCATGAACACAGCACATGGATTTAACCCCTTCCTGTAGGCAACAGAAACAACAGGCAGTCTGTCTGCAGCAAACCAGCTCAAAAAACCCGAACTTGAAATCTGCAAGACAAGTACTTCTAGGTTTTCCTTAAATACAAAGGGAAATATGGGCTATTCAGGATTTACCACAAAAAAACCCAAACTTGAAATCTGCAAGACGACAAGTACTTCTAGGTTTTCCTTAAATACAAAGGGAAATATGGGCTATTCAGGATTTACCACAGCTTATTTACGAATTCCAACTTTGGCTTTTTTCCCTGCTCTTCCTTTACAAAGCACCAACAGATTTTCAGGCCAAATTGTAAACAGCAAATTACCTCTGTTATTAATGAATGCAGAGCTCAAGAGTTAACACTAGAAGGTAATTTTCTTCAAGCGACAATTAGATCTAAATCCGTAAGCTCTAGAACCATTACCACTGACCCCATCCAATTTCCATGGAGACGGAAAGCTCAGTTGCTCCTGTTAGTGTCAATACAATTTTAGAACATCTTAAACCCCCATCCATTTCATTCTCCATAGGAACAGCTGTATGCTTGTAAGATCCCAAAAAAAGGCCAAGCAGACAGCACGTTCACATGATTTCTACAGCCTTTTTGGACACCTATTTCAGAAGCTTGTTTATAAAGCTTTTCCTAAACAAAAAGAAATAGTTGTAACACAGTAATTCGTCAATGATGCACGTGAAGCGATTAAATTGTGGTTGCGGCCCACAGAATAAGACTGCATCACCACTGAGACTTGCAGAGGCTACATCAGTGGACAACAAGGATTGAGCAAAGCACCAAGACAGAAATACCTTAGTGTAGCAGTTTACATTTTCATAGCTCATGTTTGTCTCTTACATAAATACTGACTAACATTTGTCAACACTACCAGATAGGCATTCATTCCCTGACAAATTACTAGGATCCCAAAATCTGTTGAGGAAGCTTTCTCACCCCCAGTATCAATAAAACTAGACAATAAAGCCAACTTTCAAGAAACTAGACCTAAATGCTATTATTTCAAAAAAACGTTTTATAATACGGGAAGACAGACACGAGCAGGAAAATGTTTTGAAAGCAGTGTACTATGTGATCAACATCACTCAAATTCCTTTGTTATAAAGAAAGGTAAGCAGGTTTGTCGACTGTTTTTCTACAGTTCAATTTCTCCAAAAGGTATAATGAAGTCATAGTCTCGACTTCATTATGGCTTCTATACATTTATTAATTTTCAGAAATTTGGTGCTCCAAATGCTCTGGAGGTCAAAGAGGAGAAAGGCTAAACTAGCAGATGTTCATTATGCGGTACTGTAGGAACTAGCGACCATGTAAGTTAATTTCAAAAGTTTGCTTCCAGAAAAATGGATCTGGAATTAAAATGAGATAGCCTTAATATCATATACTATTTTCTATTCAAAATACACACCTATCATCACTGCTCACTTAAAACAGTCATTTATTTAGGATGACTGTCTGATTCCTTTGTCACACCAAGTACAGCCATTTCAAATGTATTCAACAAGACAAAATTTAGCATAAGAGAGTGAATCTGAGTATGATCATGAAATAACCATCCAGAGAAAATCTAGTTATGATTAAGGATGGACACTCTTAACCTTACAAATTACTAAGTTACCTTTTTAAAATGTTGAACATATGTCTAAATGAAATGCATTCTCTTTCCTATAAAAGCATTTTTGAATTTCAAAACATGTTAATAACAAAACCCATCTGTAACTCCACAATAATTACCCCTTGCAAACCACACTTCATGTATCACCTCACAATTTTAAGTCAATTTAATAGCTTTTTTGCACTCTAATAACATTTAATTATTTTCCAATATACCTCAGAAAACTGTGTTCAGTCACTCCTGTATTCCTAGGATCACACGGTTATTTCAGTATTTGTCACCAATTCTTACATATATTGTTAATAGTTATTTTGCAACCAGCAAAGAAGTTGGGCATATTTGAGCAGTTGAAGTTAATCCTAACACTAGTCATGGTAAAATGCATTTATGACCAACTATAAACTGAAGAGGAAAAAGGAATCCTCACCTGAATTAAAGGTTGCGTTACTTTTTTTAACAGTAACTTCAATTCCAGTATCATCTATTTTAACTGAGTTCGTTTTGTCATCACTGCTGTATAGCTCTTCTACGTGCAACACAGGGAAGTCGCCTTTCTCCCCTAATTCTGCTTCTGATGTCATTTCACCATGGTTGGTATTTATAGTCACTTCATTTGTAGAAACTAAGGAAAGGGCCTGCACCCTAGGCAGAGGAGTCCTTATTTCAGAAAAGTCACTTTCTAAAAGCAAATTTGGGTTACATTTGTTGTTTACATTCCTTAGAGTTTCACTCTCTACTGCCGCTTCTGAAATCATACAAGAAAGTTCTGAGGTAATGTCATCACGCAAAACATCTTCAGCTTGCTCATCATCCTCACTTGCCTCTGAGGAAGGACTTGGACTGACAGCAGTCTCCGTACTGATCTCCACGCAAAGGGTTTCATCTACGCTCATAAGGTTCACTGAATTTTCATCCGTTTCTGCGATTTCACTGCCTATTGTGGTCTGAGAAACTGCCGATTCTCCACTCATGCCACTCTCCTTGTTTTTGTTCTCTCTACCAATAACAAGCAAAGAACTCTCGCTTTTTTCTGGACCTGCAGTCGATAGGATGCATTCAATCTGGTTATCAGTATCCTCACTTTTGTCTACTATTTCTGTACTCTCAGCAGCAAGTTGACTTTCTTCTATGACTGTAAAGGTGAAGAGACTATCGCATTCTTCCACTGTGCTCAGAGCGATCACTGCCCCCTCCTCCTTATCTCCTACACTTGAAGCGGTGTGTTGATCTTCACTGTCAGTGGCAACCCTCAGCACAGGAGCCCCGCATTCTCCCACAAAAATCACAGAACCTTTGCTTTTTGCATCCGCATCGAAAGCGGCTAGTTCAAACTGTTCATCTACAGCTGCAGTGGTCTCCACAATCTTACATTCTTCTGACGCATTTGGAGAGATAACGGCATCTTCCTCCCCATCTGCTACAAGGAGCTGCCTTTCCGCTTGTGGTGCTGCGCTGATCAGGACTATCTCACATTCTTCTGTCATGCTTGTCGTAATCATAGCAGCTTCATATCTTCCTTCTGTTTCCGAAGCAGTGAGTTTGTTTTCATCTTGCATTGCTCCACTAGACACAGGAGCTTCAAAACATTCTGCTGTACTTGTAGAGATCATTACTGTTTCATTCTTTGACTCTGCGTCTGACCCGTGTTGAACTGCCTCTTCCGTGGCTTCACCTGACGTTAAAATTACTTGTTCTTCCACAACACTCGTGGAAATCATAGCACACTCATCTTTTTCTTCCTTACTGCTGGCAGTTGGGTGACTTTCATCATCACGGTTATCATCTCCTCCCACACTGGATTCACTAGGCATGGGAACTTCATATATTTCCATGTCTACAGAAACCACAGCATTCTCATTTATGTCTTCTGTTTTCACAGAGGGGAGACGACCATCATATTCAATAGTTGCACTTGACATAGGAGCCTCAAATTCTTCCACAATACTGGTAGAAATCATAGTACACTCATCTTTCTCCTGCTTACTGCTAAAACTATGCACACACTCTTTAAACTCCGTAGCTGTACTTGGCATAGGTACCTCTGTGTCTTCAGTGTCTACTAAGATAGACCTTTCCTCACTTTCATTTGCTCTTGTGACAGCAAGTGGACCTTCCTCAGCATCCATGGCTGAATGTAAGGGAGCATCACTTTCTTCCACTGTACTGGTAGAGATGATATCACCTTTCCCTTTTTCTTCTCTGTCAGCAGGCATAACAGAACTCTGATCTTCTGTTGGAACTGCACTACTTACAGAGGCATCAAGTCCTCTGCTGCCAAAGGAAGGCATAGCATTCTCGTGTTCGTCTTCACTGTCAGACTGACTCTTATCTTGCACAGCCATAGCACTAGTCATGGGACCCTCGCACTCCTCGGCGTCCAAGGGAATCAAGCTACCGTCATGCCTTCCTACATGCGCAGTCAAGGCCCCCTCATCTGCAGCACTGGCGCTGGTTACACTGCTTTCAACAATCCCTTTAGCATTTGTGCAGTTTGTGCCACAATCACCTTCCTTCTCTGCACTTGTCATGCTGTCAACAGTAGGCTTATTTATATTTGTGCCAGCCATTCCCGACTCAGCTTCCATTTGTTCAGCAACTATGCAGATAATGGAACTTTCACCTTCTTCTGCACCTATACAAAGTAGTGCATTTTCACTTCCCATGCCCATACAAGCAGAAGCACGCTCATTTTCTTCATTTCCTCTTCCTGTACTGGTCACAATGTCCTCACCTTCCTCATCCTCCTCTTTTGAGCCTGTACTAGTCACAAAACCTTCATCATCACACGAAACTACACTGACTGTAGTGACACTGGCTTCTTCTTTTGCCCTTGTACTGTCCATTAGACTTTCACATTTTTCAGCTTCTAAACAAATGGCAAAACCCTCATTGCTGTCTTCTAGCCCTGTGCAGACTACTGAAATTTCAGCATCATCTTCTGGAGTTATGCCTGTGCTGGTCACTGCGCTTTCACCATTTACAGTATCCTCAGATTTGTCACCACTAGTTCCAGTTGTGGCACTGTCATTTGTGTCCACTGCAACACACGCACCAGTTACAGTGCTTTCTTCTTGGGCATCTGTACCAGTCACTGAGCAGATGACGAAATTATGGCCTCTCTCTTCTGCACCTGTGCAAGTCACAGTACCTTCATGTTCTTTTACTTGGCCAGCTCTCACACTGTCCCTAAATTGACCTGAGCCTTCAGCGCTTGTCGACCCTTCACCTGTTTCTGTCCCTGCACTGGTTACAGCACCATCGCTCTCCATTTCACCTAAGCAGGATACAGAACTTTCATATTTGCCTGTATCTACGCAAGCTGAGGTATTTCGCTTTTCTTCAGAGCCTGCACTAGTCACAGCATCATCTTTTTCTTCTGTCCCAGCACTGTTCACACTGTCTTCAATTTCTACTCCACTTGCATTGACTGAATCCTTACCACTTTCTTCTGCGGCAACCAAGGTACAGTCCCCATTTTCTTCTCCTTCTGTACTTGTTAGGACACTTTCACTTTCTGCTAATCCTTCGGTGACAACACTGCCGCCACCTTCTTCAGCTGCTGCAACAGTACAGTCACCAGTATCTGCCCCTGTGAGGAAACTGCCGCCCTCGCTGCTTTTTACCCATATGCCCCTTGTGAGACCTTCATCGGCTTCTATGCTTGTGCAGATTACCGTCACTTCACTTTCTTCTTCTGAGCAAGTGGTTGTAGCGTCACTGTCCTTTTCAGAACGTGATGTGCCCTCAGCTCTTTCTTCTCCCGTACTAGTGGCCATTACAGTGCTCTCTTCTGTACTGGTTCCTATCACGGTGGTTGGAGTTGCTTGTAGGCTGCTGTACAATGAACCAAGTTTACTACTCCCCGCACTGGTACCTACTGCACTGCTTTCATTTTTATCTTCTGTGGCAATCATGCCATTCTCTTCTTGCTCACTGGCTATAATGGGGCCTTTGAGTGTTCCCGCAGGAACTCTTTCAGGCATGGACACCGAGGAAGATTGTATCATGTCATCGATATCATGCACCTTGCTCTTTTCCACAGTATCCATCATTGTGCTTCTTTCCCCCTTTGTGGAAGCATCTGTATTCAAGCACTCTCTCTCTTTAATTTGTAGAAGTTCCTTTGTTGTTACATTTCCACAATCTTCAGTTACGTCAGTCATCAAGCTTTCCTCTTTTATTTTCAACTCACTTCCCTGAGTGCTTTCTAACTCTGCTGCTTCATCATACTCTTCCTGACTAGGTAACACAGCAGTACTGTCTTCCATTGCCTGGTCATCAGGCTGGGGCACCTCCTTATCCTTTTCTACACTGTTTGTTGTAGTGCTGGTGTCACCACCGTCTGTCATGGCTGAACTCAGCGCTGCATTACGTTGTTGCTCCATGTATACAACCTGTGCTGCATCGCTCTTCAAAATGAAAGTATTTTCAAATAAAGAATTCCCATCTGAATTATGGCGTGCTTTAGGCACACTACCCAAGGAATCTGTGAAGTCCGAGATATTCGTGGGCTTTGCATCAGCAGCATCTTCTCTGGAAGAATGAATTGCTAAAGGAACATCATCTGAATTAGAATTTATCACAGTTTTTAAATTCTTTGGTCTCCTGCTATCTTCCAAAGCTTGATCCTTACTGGGAACGTTCAGTAGAATTCTACCACTTGTTTCATACACAACGCTCATTTTATAAGCCCCTTGTTTACTGGGTCCTTGATCCATGGAAGCTTGTTTGGACAACGTGTCTAAGGCACCAACTTGTTTTTTACGGATATCTTCTTGTTTAACAGTTTTTTCAGCTGCAGGCAGAAACTGCAATTCACAAGCTTCAGGATCTGCCAAGTTGCGGTTTAATTCCTTATTTGAAAGGGAGCGAGATACTTTTTCTTTTGCTGCATACCTGGCATCTGTGGCTTGGAGTGAGTTTTGAATGTTTTTCCCTTCCATGTCAGATGCTGCCTGTACTTTTGTTTGTTTCAAATCAAGTTCCATCAGCTCTTCCTCATGACCAGAATGCAAGGCATCATTATTTATTCTTGACTTTTGAGGGGTTGGAGCATGGCTGCTTTCAGTTGTGCGACCTGACTGCTTTTCATCCCCAACTAAATCTTGGTTGGATATACTGCCTTTTCTATTTTCACAGGGTATCTTCTTACTTTGTTTTTTATCCATTGCCACTATGATGCTCACTGCTTTTTCATGCCCATTATCCATTTCTTTAATAACTTTATCCTCCAATTTGATACTATCTTCCTTTTTCTTTATTTCCTTGTTGCTGTGCTTTAAGTTTCTGCTTTTGTGACCTTCAGCAGAAAACCTTCTTTCTAGTCTGGCATTGCTTAAGTCTTTATCACCTCTGTATTTCTCTTTTACAGACCCTCTTTCTCCAGAATGTAACTTAACCCTGTGACTAAAGTCTTTTTGTGACCCCTGAGTTGATTGTGTGCCACTTACAAGCTCAAACTCAGCACCAGTCTCTCCAAGAACTTTGTCTTCATTCTTGGATTTGTGTTGCCTATCTGAATTATTCTCTTCCGTGCTCTTATCTTTGTCTAGTTTCTGACCCGTCTCTTGTTTTGTTATGTTTTCCTGTAATTCTGTTTCAGATGCTCTGAATTGTTTACTATGACTCTTTGACTTAGACTTTAACAAAATCTTGTCTTCTACAAGGCTCTTGGATCTTCTTCTATCTTTATGAACACCATCTTCTTGTTTCAGATTACAGTCAGAGTTAGTTGATTCTGTTTGATGCTTATCCTCTGAGTAGCTTTCGCTCCTTCTGTGTGATGCAGAAGCAACTTGCTTTGAGGCACTTACGGAATCCTTCTGTGGCCTAGAATCACTCAGGGACCTTTTGGTCTTGTATTCCACTCTTGATTTTTCAGTGGAGAGATGCCTGTCTTTTTTACTTTCCTTACGCAGCAATTCTTCAGCTTTTAAGGTTGATTCAGAAATATTTTTTCCATCTTTTCCTGTTACCGATATTTTCCGTTCACTTCGGTGTTTACTTTTTCTTTCAGATTTGTCATCTGAGGAAACCTTTATTTGTTGACTATGTTTCTGACCACCATCCTCTCCTTTCAAACTTCTCTCAAATGAATGGAGTTCAACATCTTCAGTTGATTTGTGAATACTGTCTCTGTCTCCTTTATGTTTGTGCTTTAGTTTCTCTTCTAAAGCAACTCTTTCCTTTTCATTTTTATCTCTGTAAAACTTGGCTTCCTTTTTGGCAGCATTTCTCAGATGTTGAATTTCTACGTCACTATCTTTTCTGGTGTGTTTTTCGTTTTTAAATATGGATTTCTGCTTCTGTAGTTCTTCAGTATTGACTTCTGCTCTATCCAGTTGTCTTTTTGGATCCCTTGATTCACTTTCCTGCTGGGCTCCTTCAGCCTGAAGAGAGATGGAGGTTTTTCTTTTATGTTCTTTTTCTGATTTAGAATCACTTTTGCTTTCCTCAGTCGAATGCACCGATTCTGAAAGTCTTCTAAGCTGTTTAGAACTTTCACTTTTCCCATGATTATGCTTCACTTCTTTGGAAGAATTCTTTTCACAAGTCTACAAAATAAAGTTTTTTATATATAAGAAAGTGTTACATAGATCCTTCTCTGTGTGACCGAACAGAATTGTTAAGGGCAAAGTCTCCATAAAAGCAATGCATCAGGGAACATATTTAACACTGTAATACAGATTCAGCTAAAACACAGGCAGTAAGAAAATGAAACTTGACATTTTCATTCCAATTTTGCCATTGTGGGAAAATACAAAGAAACAGAAGTTAACCTTACATAGTCTGTTTGAACTTGAGTATCTTTTCTTTATAAAGTGATTTTTCTTTTTAAAATTATTTAAATGGACAACCACAATTTCAAGTAACTTATGTAGTACTTGAAACAACCATTAAGCTGTGTTACAAAAAAATCCCAACCAAAACAAAAACCCAGAACCCACAAAAGATAAAACTAGGCTTCCATTTGAACTTCCAACTATCACTTTTTAGTTTTTGTTAATAACGTTGTTGGTAACAACTCTCACCATAGAAATTCTCTTTCCTGTCTGGACCACATTCAGTTTAACTTCCCAGTGAGAAGTTTAAATAGATCGAGCTCCTCAAGCCTTTGGATGTAAGACACACTTTGCCCTTTTTTAAAGCCCAACATGCTTCACAGAATAGGGCTAAAACTGTATCTCGCGTTCTACAACAACACGCATCAGCGCTGAATACAGACTGTACATTCTAGTGGCTACTGGAATTCTGAAAATGTTACTACAGCAATGTCAGATCACTAACACAGCTGAGAGAACTAGAGAAAAAAGAATGAATGCAGTATTATGCAGTTTGGTACGGACATATGGACACGTAGTACTACAATTAAAAAGGAAGAAAATAAGGTTTATATTTAAGAGACATACCTCATTTGCCTTATGCAACTCCTTAGAATCTTCTTTAGATGGCTCATACTTCTTTTTGCAGCTATCTTCAGCATGCCTGAAACAGCTATTTGGACAATTAAAAAAAGAAAAATCAGTATCAGCCTAACATTAGTTTGTAGACTTCCTCCTTTTAAAGCCGAAGGAGAGCAAGAAATGCACGCAAAAAATACTGAAATAGAACACGGTAACACAACTTCTGACTAGCCAGTTTGTCCAAGCTTTTTTCTCTTGGAAAATCCTATGAGCCAGCTTCAAAGATACCCTCTGGACATCAGTATTTTAAAGCAGAGGGTATTAGTACAGCAATATTAGTATCACAGTTGTCTCTGTAAAATGGATAAGAGACCTCCTTGCTCCATATACACTCACATGTAGACAGGTATGTACACATGTCCCCATCTATGTAAAGTGCCAATTTAAAGATCACACTCAGCTGACTGACATGGTAGATGCACAAACATCTAAAAGCTATCCATTCTCCTGCCTTTATTACCATTCTGTTTGTGAAAAGCCACATAAAGGCTGCTACTGCAGTGTGAGCTGCAGTATACTTAACCAGCTATAATTTGATTTTCTGCCTCAACTTCACGCTTACTAGTAACAGAATTATGTCAATATTTTAAGAGGAAATGGTTAAAACAGGTAAGGCTAACTGCAAAGTTGAAGAGAACCTTTTCAATATGCAAAAGCGAATATTCAAAAACTTAATTTCTGTTGAGCAAATACGTGAATAAATACCTTGAATCTCTCTTCCTTTTTCTGCTCAAAGCTACTTTTTTTTCTAAAAATTTTTGTTCTTTAAGCACATCCTTAATGCTGGTACCAGTAGCTTTTGACACAACACTTCTTGATGAGGGTTCTTCTAAGTTCAATCCACTTTTTCCTACAATAATACAGAAAGGTGAAATAGTAAGCATGTCATTATATTACTGTTTCAGCTATAAATGTGACTGAAAGCAGTACAGAGAGTACTGATCTGTAGAGGAGAATACTAGTGTACATAGGTATTCACTGTATTTTAGCAATGTAACGCTATATGAAAAAGACATGGAATTTAGTATTAATAATATGCATTATACATTATTCTGTCACATTACTGTTGAAATGTTGGGTTTTTAATGGAAATGTCGGGTTTTTAATGGAAATGTCTAGAGACCTAATGCCACTATTTTAAGCTGAATATTTTTTTCCAGACAGAAAGAGTGGGTAAGCACAGGGTGGCAGGGGCTAATGTTATACTTCTCATACCTTTAGCGTTTTGACTTCCAGTTTTTAGGGATTTTGTTTTTTCTGCAGCTTTCTGCTTACGTTTTTCTTCAAGTCTCTCTCTGTTAATTTGTCTTCTTAGGAGTCTCTCTTCTTTTTCTCTGGCCTGGAGATACAAAACCCAAGGAACACAATTTAACATTAGGTCAAAGATTATTCTTTGATTACAAATATATGTCTAAACCCGACAGAAAACAGAACACTAGCTTGAGGAAAACTAAAAAAAATAAATAGACCTTACAAATCATTGTATGAAAGTTAATGGAGTCCTCTAATACTTCTGTGAAGTGAAACTAGTTGAGTTCCAAAGGGTTTCATTGCTGTTTAACAACACAAATTTTCTCAATGAATATACATTTTTCATTTTATTTATATAAAAAGTATATATAATACATAGGGTATGTATATTAAACATAAACAAATATTTAAAAAAATATCTTTAGCTAAAGGAAAATATCTAAAAGAACTGCTGTTCCCTATTCTGTGTGCTAGTCCTTTTTCCACAGAACATAGTGAAGATGCTTAAACCCCTCTTCCCATTCTCAGTGGCTGCAGATATGCTACAAACTACTGATTTCATGGACAGCAAGAACTACATTTGTGATGAGATGATGTAACAAAGTAGCCTGCAGTAGTCAACACAAGCCTGAACTACGCAAAACCTCACTGAAGGCAGGCTGGTGGATATGGGCTGCTTTTTCCATGCAAATTGTTATTATATGCATTAAATCTACTTAAGACCAGATCTTTCATGTGTGTAGCAGTTCTTACTCTCCATTATCAAATCACTCAGTTGAGAAAGAATCCACCTACTGCTGTGATTCTGTGAAGACACTGCATGTAATTAGTAAATACTCTGTCAACATCAAAAGACTGCTCATTTTAGAGCAGAAGGGGGAAAAAAAAAAAAAGGGGTTTGCATGGCAAGGCTTTGGTGGCAGGGAGAGGCTACAGGGCTGGCTTCTGTGTAAAGCTGCTAGAAGCTTCCCTTATGTCTGATGAGGTCAATGCCAGCCGGCTCTAAGACTGACCCACCCACTGGCCAAGGCTGAGCCAATCGCAGGCGTAACGGCTCTGTGATAACATCTGTGAGAAGAGGAAAAAAAAAAAAACCAAACAGAAGAGGAGACATTTTTGCAGACAGAGAGCAAGGAAGATATGAAACTGCTCTGCAGACCCCCAGGTCAGTGGAAAAGGAGGCGGAGGAGGTGCTCCAGGCTCTGGAGCCGATTCCCTGGCAGCCCGTGGTGCAGACCATAGTAAGGTTGGCTGTGCCCTGCAGCCATGGAGGGTCACGGGGGGAGCAGAGACCCACCTGCAGCCCAAGGAGGGCCCCACGCCAGAGCAGGGGGATGCCCGAAGGAGGCTGTGACCCCGTGGGCTGCCCGCGCTGGAGCAGGGTCCTGGCAGGAGCTGCGGCCCCGTGGAGAGAGGAGCCCAGGCTGGAGCAGGTTTGCTGGCAGGAACTGTGACCTTGGGGGGGACCCAGGCTGGAGCAGGCTGCTCCTGAAGGATGGCACCCCGTGGGAGGGACCCACGCTGGAGCAGTTCAAGAACTGCAGCCTGTGGGAAGGGCTCATGTTGTAGAAGTTCATGGAGGACTGTCTCCCGTGGGAGGGCCCCCACATGCAAGAAGTTCTCCTGAGCGGCAGAGAAGGTGTGTGATGAACTAACCACAACCCCATTCCCTGTCCCCCTTGCCGCTCAGGTGGGACGAGGTAAGAGAAATCGGGAGCAAATTTGAGCCCAGGAAGAAGGGAGGGGTGGGGGGAAAGCATTTTAAGATTTGGTTTTAGTTCTGATTTTGACTGAAGATACATTAATTTCCCCTCCCCGCTGAATCTCTTTTGCCCGTGACAGTAATTGCTGAATGATCTCTTCCTGTCCCTGTCTTCAGCTGCGACCCTTTTATCGTACTTTCTCTTCCCCGTTCAGCTGAGGAGGGGAGTGACTGAGCAGCCTGGTGGGCACCTGCCTCGAGCCAAGGCTACCCACCACAATGGAAAAGTGTGGCATTGCTTTCATCACCAAAAGCCTTCAAACTGTAACCAGCAGAGTGCTTCCTTGGAGAGCAAATCATGCAATACTGGTGGAAGTCTGAAAGAGGGGCAGTTGTAAGACAAGGTGGGGAAGGAGGGGAGTGAGAAGAAACAGAAGACTCCCCCCTCACAAACCACCCACCAAGTAAGAAGTGGAATTTTTGTGCTGAACAGTTTAGGAGCTAGAAGGCGAGCAGTAACAAAACCCACTTACAATGGACTGACGGCGTTGTTCTACAGTTCGCTCGTCATCAGAATCACTGAAGTACTTGGAGTACAGGAAAGGCTTGCGAACATAAGCATGACGAACAGGCTTGGCTTTCCCATCGCACAGCTCGTTAGCATGAGGCTTTGTCTTCCTCTGACTGTTTTTCTCCTCTTCATCTGAGGAAAGGTTAGTGAAGTGTAGAGATATATTGATAAATTAGAGCAGTGCTTTCAACGTAACTGCTGAGGAGGCAAAGCTACTCAAAATGTATTAACAAGTGTTTCTACAAAAACCAAAAAGCTAAAACAATTAAACGTTTTAACATCAAAACACCACAATTATGAAAACCTGAAAGATATATTAATGCATTTGTGCACACCATTCAGCCAAAAAATTGCAAGACACAAACCCCAAAACAAACCAGGATACCACAACTGGGCTACCCTCTTGCCTGTCATCACGCTGCCTTTTTTACTTACAGTATTTGGTACTTAACACCAACTAAGAAACCAGAATATAAGTTCTGCTATCTATTAAGTTAATCATCTTCCCTCCACCAAAAAAATTTGTACAGTATTTGAGAATGTAAGAAGTAGATAGGCTGACTGAAATACATGGGTATAAAAAACTTGGTTTGTGTATTATCCAATTAAAAATAAATATTTCAGTTATTAGGATTATTAGAAACGGAGCAAAGCCATTTGTGTTCCATACTGTACAAATTATTTGTATCCTTGAAACCTATTTAAGGCTTGTTTTCACAAGTAATTAGTCGTAACTGAATGCAATCTGCCATGTTTAAAAGTGACACCACAGCCAGAGAATATGCAATTAATTAAGTGCTTCTAAATAATGTTCTTAGAGCAGAAAATGTAAGCTCACAGCATACTACAGACAACTCATTCAGGTAATAAAGCACTCTGTATTATGAAATGTAAAGTCTTATTAACTGCAGAAGACATACATCCACAGAAATGAGTTTCTGAGGTCTGCTCTAGACAAGGAAAACACAAAAGGTAACCCAGTCAGTGAAAAGATTTGGCATTTCCATACTCTTCAAGTTAGATCCATTCCTGTTCCTTTTACTGTAGCCAGATAGAATCTGGAAATCCCTGCAATCCTAAAGGTCTAAACCTAACTTGATCTGCAAAGTCAACTACAATCACTACCCTGAGCTCAAAAAGTACTCCAGTGTTATACCAAATTTATGGCAGAATTGGGGGTGGGAGGGACAATAAGCACAGGAAAGTGACATACCCGTCACCATTAAGTGTTTTTGTTGCCTGTGAAATACTGTAGTACAAGTAAGACTGTTTAGGATCTATCAAGCTATTAAAACAATACTCAGAGCATGCCCACTACTTGTCTTTTGTAATTGCACAAATGCTATCCATTCCACATTCAAATTCTCTCATAAACAAGTACAATAAAACATACTTCAAATGTATAATATGATGCATTCAACAACAGCATTGCATATTCTTTCTTGCTTCTTAACAACCTAATTATTTTACCATCTGATGTGATCTCCCCCTCTTCAGTACTGTCAGAAATTACAGTCTCCTCTTCGCTCTCCTCTTCAAAGGAAGAAAGGTCACTGGTATGGACAGAGCTGACAGTGATGTCACTGAGTACATCCATATCTGAATCTACTGACATATCTTCTTGCAAAGGAAAAAATAGAAAGAAAGAGCTGTAATGCAGCACACTATTTGAGAAACTTTTCTGTTATTTTGCCACTGAAAATAAAAATAAAATTATCTTAAGGACAAGAAATAAGGAGAAAAAAAAAAAAAAAAAAGAAACACCTGATTGAAATGTTATTAGGCTAACTCTGGTTTACTCCAAACAAAAATCACCCTGAGGTACAACTAGAAACTTTCAATGCAGACTGGAATTGTTGAGAGAACTTGACAGAGTCAGATAGATGACCACTCACACATTTGAGGAACCAAAGCTCATCTGATTCTTAATGTGGGTACCTCAGTTAAGGGAGATGAGCCAAGATGTAGCTGTGGCTAGCTAGACATATTTGCCCGAACAAGCAGAGAACCTACATTTCAAACACACTTCTGATTCACCTCCTGAATACGCTTAGAAAAACCCCATACTCATATTTTAAGGAACAGCATTTCCCACACCATACCTTCTTTAGTGCTTTCACTTGTTCTATGTTTATTGCTATTTTTTTCTGGCACTGACTGTTTCACTGGTTCCCACTCTCTTGATTGCTTTTCTTCTTTTGACTTTGTAGTATCATCAATTTTCTTTGAATGGTCAGACTTCTTGTCAAGTTTTTCCTTCTTTTCTTTTCTTCGTTCACCTTTTTCACTGCTGTCTGGTTTCCTGTCACATTTATCTAACAATTTGCTCTTTTGATCTTCGCTTTCCTGTTGCATTTCTTTACTTGAAAAAGTCAAATTATTACTATCCTTTGCTGAATTTTTTATTTCTTCACTTTGGCAAGGAAGCTCATTTAAATCTTCACACTTTGCAAATGTTTCAGCTCCTTCTCCAGGAAGATCACAGACTGCTTTCTCTCTGTCTGGTAAGTCGTCCATACTTCTCTCTCTATCAGTGCTACCATCTATGCTCTGCTGAGATGACAGTCTCTTTGCAACTCTGTCGTTCCTGGGATTTGAGTTCTCTGTTGAAGCCCTGGCAGCACTTGCTTCTTGGTTAAGAGAAGTTATTGTTTCCAAAATGGACATTGCATCATTAGCTACGTTGCCACTAGGAGCTGTAGTGGTGACACCTTGAATAGTAAGAAAGAAAACAGTTTTAGTTCATCTTAGCTTCCATAATTCCATTTAGATAGAATTTTAAGCAAGTGAAAGGAAAAGGAATAATGACTCTATTTAAAATAAGTAAAATTAACTGAAAGGTTTGACTAATTTTGCATCTAGAGATTTTGGTTTTAAAAAAAAAAAAGTTGCATTCTTGCAGAAACGATGATCTGATTACCAGATACATTTTGCTCTGTGACATACTGCTGCTCCTGGGATCAGCTATAGAAAACAGGCGTTGTCTATGGAAAGGATGTTCTGAACACAATCCTTGTTCAACTGTACCATCATCCCAAATAGGATGATGATTTGAAGAAGCACAATACAGAATACTGCAGCAGAAACTCTGTATTTCATACCTCTGGTATGAACATAAATGACATGGAAAATGGACTCAGCATATTGATTATGTAGCAATGAGACTACCAGGAATAACATGTCGCTTTCTCATCTTCTTAGAAGCCACTCAAGACAGGTGAGAAAGGGTTAACTGGACTAGCACTAAGAACTGCAGCTGGCTTGTTAACCCACTTACTTTAAAGGAAGTGGGCCTCACAGGAAAAGGGCTAGGATTTAAATAAAGGGTCTGGTTACAAATCGATGGACTGCTGTGGAGTCTCTTTGGAAGGGAAAGAATGGACAGTTACCTGCAGGGGTGTTCAGAAGTCGATACCAGGCAATGTAAATGAAAATCTTGAAGTGCTGTGTTTATAAACAAACTGAAGATTGGCTGATTTACAGCAGAACTTCAGCTCCTGAGAGGGCCTTAGCCATTCAAATTTTACTGCACACAGCAACTGCAATAAGACAGCTAACTGTCCCAGACAATTTTTTTTTCTGATTTAACAATGCATTAAAAAATTGAATCATTTTTCTCTTACAGCTATGCCCTATCTGACCCTGTAAAGGCCAAACCCTGAGACCAACTTTTTTTCCTCACAGTAAACCGATGTTATAATCTCAAGCACAAGTGACAATGACATGGTGGTACATGGCCTTCTACCTTCACACATACAGTAAGAGACAAGTATTATGGTATGCTGCCCGGAGCTAAGCTTGTTAGTAGTGATGCTAACAATTCTGTGCCAGCAGCCAACCTAGTCAATGCTTCTGCTCTCTCACGAAATTGTTTGTTAATTCACTGCTGAGGGAAACGGTAGAATACCTTGTACTGTAAGAGAAGCATCTGCTTTCTCCTCACTTGGAGCTGTACTGGGGCCTGCCTCCTCTTTGTGATTCAATGTGGCTAAAAATTCATGGACCGCTTTTTCCACCTGAGGTCTGAATGTGTGGTTGATCTTTGGGTCCACAACCTGAGAAATAATTCTGTCAATTCCAGATTCCAACATTCCAGACCTGGAACAAAGTTACATGAATACTTAATAGGAAAAATGACTTTTCAAGAACACCTTAATGAAATTTGCTCGTTTAGATGTGACATAAACACGCACAAGAACCTCAACTGAAACATTAACACTTTCTGAGCATCACTGCAGCTATGTATTTAGCCAGCTGCCTGTATTTCAGCAGCTCTATGCCTTATAAACTAAGAAAAAACCTGCTAGAGAAACAACGCAATCCAAACGCATGGAATTAACACAACAAGCGGCCTGTTATGTCATCACTGGTTATGCCTACAAATGTTACCCAACTGTAGAAGTGACATTTGTGGAAAAAATTAAGAAGCCCGATGTTATCAATTCCCATGGCGTAAAACAGATGAACTACAGGAGGCAGGAGGGACAAAGGACTAATAGACCAGTCACCACCACCCTAGGTTGCATTCTGCCCAATACAGACTGACACCTCAGAGTTCTGCAGCTTTATATGACACCCTTAATCTTCAGTAAAATCAAATAAATGGCAATAGAGCAAGCACATCGTATCTACAGGTTCTCTCTACACTCCTGCAATCTTTTGCGGAGCAGATATTGCCTCTTGTCCTCATTGCTTCTTTAAAAACAACTGAAAAACCACTCCAAACAACAATTGCTCCCCTCCCCCGAAGAGCCAGCTCCTCAGTACCAGTTATCAGTGGCACCACTACAGCATAACTGAGTAAGCTTGCTCCCAAATCCCTTGTTTGACCCAATTTAGTGCCTAACTCATGTTGCTTTGAAGAAATTTCCTACTGTTTCTTACGACTTTAAGTTTTGAGGAAAAGAAGCTAGAGAAACCCTTATGAAGTAATGATAACATCAGATAAGTGTTTGACATCATCTTGACGTAACAACGGTTCTGAAAAAAAACTTATCTGCCTAGCTAGATTTACATCCAGTTTTCTGTTTTGTGAATTTAGCTTTGTACTCCGCAAAGCTTAGTTTGGCAAATCGTGACTTAGCTCCTACTCAGCTCAAAACCCAATAAGAACAATTTTGTTTATGTGTCCCTTAAGAGAAACAGTAAAGATAGACTTCAGCTGGTAAAGGTAGCTGTAAAGCTAGACTTACATCCCAAGTCAGAAACAAGCTTTCCACGCCCTGCATCAACCTGGATCAAACAAAATAACATTTGCAATCTAATTCTGACTAATGCTGATGGCGAGTTACTATCTGAAATAATACCATGATTTAAATGCTACCAAAAAAGCGCCTTCAGAAAGGTCTTTGAAGAAAGCAGACACTTTACAATTGACCTAGAGTCTCCAACACCTCTCACGGTATGCGAGCATGTTGCAACAGAGAAACCCCAGAACTGTCACTTACTTGAGAACCTGCTGCCTAATGTTATTTCTCAGCTGGTTCTTGTTGAGATGAGGACTCCAGGTATGAGTTGCCAAATGATTGGAAACAAAGTTGTCAACGCGCTGTCTCAAATTCTGGTAAGCAGGCTAGAAAGCAACAAAGGAGAGGTTGGACAGTGAGGGTTTTGAGCGCTTATCCTCCTGCAGACCGGGCTGGAAGCGCCAGAAGCCCCGCCGGACCCCCCGAAGGCGCAGCCGTGCCCCCTCCCGTATCGCTAGCAAGGCCCCGCGGATCCCGGCGCCCGGGC